AGCTCTCCCACCGGCGGGTTTCTCCCCTCTTCCTTTGCTTTTGGCTCAGGCGGGGCCCAGGGAACACCACTTTGTTCATGCCCCAGGGTACCAGGTTGTACATGTGGGTTTTGTGGGTTAGGACCAATTGTTTGTTTGTGTGATTGTGCTTGCTGTGTTGTTTTAATAAATTGTTATTCTGACTTGTGGTCTCTCCTTTGAGTTGAGTTCATTTCCCCTGCTGGTTGACTCTTAAACCAGCACAAGCCCTTAGTATGACTCTCAGACCCTGATGCTGTCGATGCCTGACCTTTGTACTTGTGTGGGCCTGTGATAGCACTGGAGCCGTGAAAAAGAGCAGCAGCCTCTCTGTCTGAAGATACCTCTGTGGTGTTAAACCACTGCTGCTGCTTCCTCATGGCAGTCCTTCCTCTTCTGATGTTGCCATAGGGTTATCACCCCCAGTAGTGCTCTGAGGAGGAGAAGAGGCTTGGAAAAGGGAGGAGTTGGAAAAACAGCAACACTCAGGAGCATGGGGAATAAGGAGGTAGGAGGTAGCAGCAGAACTTTGTGTTAGGCGGGTGAGAACACAGCAGGGGAATTTCAAGAGGGGTATGGGGGGAAGAAGGGACAGGAGAAGACAGCAACAAAGAGGCATTGTTTAAAATAAAACTGGCATCATCAAAAGAGATTTCTTCTGCCATTGCAGAGCTTTTCTTCACGTAAGATTAACCGCCCTCTGCTTATTCAGAACTTGAACTCATTGTCATACTGTGTTGAAATAATTTACTTTGTCATAATTTGAGACCTATAGGTCCAAGTGAAGCTAATGTAAGGGAGAGCTGCAGCTTCTTTCATTTTACAGAGATGTTGCAAGGCATTGCTCTTTTAGAAAAGTAGTTTCAGCTTACTACCAACTGTGTAAGTAGAATTATGATGTAGATGCTCTGTCAGTAAAAGTTTATAATTATGACTCTAAATGTATTGCAGTTTTATAGAAGAGAGACATGAAATATGACTTAAAAGAATAAACTGAGCTTGACTGTGAAAGGTTTGTCCCTGCTTCCTCTATAGAGGCATTTCAAACTAGTTGTTAAATATATGTTTTTGCTTTTGTATAAGTGTCTTTTCCTTCTCACCAAGGAGTCTTGCTGTAGCCAAGATTTATTCTTTAAGATTATTGCATTGATAAACTTAAATAAGCAACTTATCATTGTAATGGACAAATAATAAGATTTGATATGTTTAAGTCAGATAGTGCTGAAAACATTGGGAAAATTTCTTGCAGAAATTAAAAAAAGAAAAGGGAATTGTGTTTCCAACTTGGTTTGTCATTTTCAGCTGTACTCTAATCGGTTCTTTTAGTCCCTTCTGATTTAAGGAAATAAACAAGGCAGTAATTTTTGTTATATTTAAAATCCTAAAGTATGCTGAATTGGAAGGGATCAATCAGAATATAAAAGTTAAGTACTTTTGAATAAAACAACTAAATAGACTATTTTTTCCTTGGTGCATGATTTATCTTCCATATTAGATGTAAAAGTATAGGCTTTAGCCATAGCTTGGTTTTGGATTTTCCAATGAAATGAAACTTTCTGCATTGCTAGTTACATCATATATTCCTTTTATTTTCCATATTTCTTACCATGATTTTTATGCATACTGCTTTCAGAGAGATTCAAAAGCTTATAAGTGACATTTGGAGTGGTTTTGCTATTTGAACACAGGCACAGCATGCACTGTGTACTAAATTCAGAACTGCACGTTGCTCTCTGACACATTGAGTGTTATGCTGTGTTTCAGTATGTTGAATGACCAGTCTGACAGTAAGTTTAGCCATGGCAGTATTCCCTTGCTGGTGGTGGGTGAATGTAGTTTGGAAGTTGCTGAATGTCCCCAGTACTGAACTGTGCCTACAAGGCACAGTCCTGAGCAAGGAGGTGGGGTGGGATGGGAAGTGCTGAATGGCACTATATGTCTCAGAGAAACGCAGCACTTTTGCAGGCATTAGAAAGGCTGTAACATCTTCTGATATAATGGAAATCTAGCTAAGGACAGAGGTTTTTTTGTATTGCTGTCACATCAAGGAAAGAACAAGCTCAGGGACATGGGAAAGAAGAGTCCTCTTTTTATCCCCTCCCACTTTTTTCTTTGCCCTTTTGTGATGTTGGTCTAGAACTGAGAAAGGCCCCATGCAATGCACATTCACAAGCTGCTACTTTCTGCCTGTTACTCAGCAGGGAAACAGAGTAAGTACAGGGCTCACCCATGACAAGGAGTCATTAAGTTGTTATGAAGTGTTCTGTGATGAAATTACTGGCATTGCTGTCATTCACATGTAACATGTTTTATTTGCATATATCTGTCTCCTTCAGTGTTTGTCATACAAAATATTTTAATAAAATAGTCAAAGAAAATAATAATTTTGTTTGATATTACTCAGCAAACAAAAGAAGCAAACTAATGGTGTTAGGGGGGCTGCATGTGTACGTATAAGAATACAGAGTTACAGCCTGTTACACGCTTCTGTCCTGTGTACCCATTAGTCCCACTCAGTCATCTTTGCTTCTTCCCTGGTTTTGACGACTTTATTTTCACAGACTGTAGAAGAGATTGAGGGCGTACTGGGACGTGACCTTTACCCAAACCTGTCAGAGGAGAGGTCTCGATGGGAGAAGGAGCTTGCTGGCCTACGAGAAGAGAATGAAAGCCTCACGGCCATGCTGTGCAACAAAGAGGAGGAGCTCAACAGGACCAAGGCCACCATGAACGCTGTCCGTGAGGAGAGGGACAGGCTGCGCAGAAGGGTAAGGCTGCTGCAGAAATGAAGGCTTCTTGTTCCTCCAAGCCTGTGTGATTATGTCACCAGAACAAGCCTCTCTTTAACCTCACTTCCTCTACTGGCTGTGAGGCTTTTTGTTTTTAAAGCTGGGTTATACAAATGACAAAACTGGGACAAAACTGAACGTATTAGAAAAAGAATGTGTGATAAACAGCCGATATGTACAATAACCTGATGTCAGAAATCGTCTGTTAACAGAAAACCTGATATTCATCTTCAAGGAAGCATATGTAACTTGACTATAGAGAAAGCAGATGTTCATTTAGTGAATTGTCCTGTGAGGTCCTTTTTTTCCCTGTAAACAACAGATATTTCTTTGGTTTTTTTGTGAATTCAATTTGTGACTAGGAAAAAGAAAAAGAGCAGGACTCCTGTCAGTGAGTAATAATTCTCACACTGAACAATGAGTAGTCCCAGCCATGTCCTGCTTCCCTGTCTACATTTTATGATATTGTAAGGTCAGAGAAAGGCCTTGTGCTTTGTGTGGATTCCAAAGTAAAAAACAAACAAACAAACAAAAAAAACCCACAAAAACCAACCAAACAAACAAAAAACCCACAAAAAACAAAGATGAAAGGTCCAAGAGAATGTGACCTCAATCTCTGTTACTTTTAAAATTTGTTAACTTTGTATCTGTTAAATCTGCAGAGTTTAGGCTAGAACGAAGCATTTTTGTTTTTAAAACAGGCAGTTTCAAGTCTGTGTTCAGTCTGAATGACAAATCAGACCACTGTACCTTGGTGAAATAATTGCAAGTGTTGCTCTTTACCTACTAGCAGCAGATTGACCCTTTTTGCTGTTCTAAAACAACATTGTTCTGCAGTGACTATATTGTTTTATATATGTTCTGCATTGTGTGAGATTTCCAGTCTTCAGCTATCAAGCCACAAATAACCTTTTCAAAACTCTCTAGCCTCTCCCAACGCTAAAAAAGGTATGTGTGATGAGGCAAAAATAGTAATCTCCTATCATATAAAACAAGACCACTTCAACTTTTCCTTTGTAAAATTTTGTTTTATTATACACCATAACTTGTTTTCAGTCCTGAACTTTTTGGACTGATTTTATAGTGACATTTATTTTAAGCAGAAACAGTACTACCCCTCGAGCTACAGCAGTGATGTTTATGCACTGGGTGAATTATTGCCGAATTGAGGGAGTGGACATGACAACACATAGAGAATAAAAGTATGTCCTTGTGAAATTTGCTTACACAAATGCAGACATTGATACTACAGATGATACAGATCAATATTGGGATATCAAACAAGAAAAAAATAGGTGGCCTTGAGCTTAGAAAAAGATTCAAATTTGGAGAAGTATGGAATGCAAGTTAAGGTGCTTGAAAGGTTGGTAACAAGAATTTCTGCTGACAGCCAAAATCTCCTCAGTTCATAAAAAGAAAAGGGGACAGAGTTGGCATTGTAGCCTCAGGGATCAGTGTGGCTGAGCCATTGACACTTGGTGGCAAATTCAGTCCTATGATTTACCAGAGAAGTTTTTTCCAGCAGAGATGGGAAAGGCTGTATAAAGAGAGGTGAGGTCTGATCTGGAGTGTTTTATGTAGTTCTTATCTCTTATGCATGAAAAGGCAAAGTTTAAATTGCCAGAAAAAGATGGTGAAGATGGCGAGAGAAATGGGCAGCATACTTGGAGAAGGGACTTAAAAGAGATTGTCCTGTTCAACTTAGCAAAACAAAATCTTAATTTGATTTCTCTTAATAAGTGCTGGAGAAGGCAAGTAAGAATGGGAGTAATGGCTCTCCAAACTTAAGGATGAAACTGGAGCAAGAACAGATTCATATAAACCACTTGTGGCTGTATTAGCCCAGAAATTAGACTGTGAGGTATCCAAGAGAAAAGAGGATTGTGCTTCTGAAGAAACAGTAATAAGTAAGGCTACTGACTACTTTCAAAACAGAGCTTCAAAATATTAAATATTATTCAAAATAATCATGCTTGATTATTCAGAGATACCTGTCAAAACCAGGATAGTTACTTCAGGATTTTATCCAAAGTAAAGGGAAAAAAGGCCAGTTAAGACAGCTGCAGTTATTCTAGACCTAGACTCAGCACCTCTACACAAATCTATTATATTTCGACCCTGCAGAGGGTAAGTCTGGAACTGCTCAGTAGAGACTGTGAGCTATCTTTGGTGTAGCAAGCCAATTTAAATGTTCATTCTTCTTTAATTAAGGAAATTCTTCTTGGACAGATTGGATAGATGTCCTACCCAGTACATAAGGCAGTAATGTTGAATTGCCACAGAGCCTTAATATTTGGGCACAGCTGGCAGGGTTGTGTGGGGGTTTTTTCAGTTGTTTTCATTTAGTTTGCAGCTACAGAGGACTTTACTGAAATATGGTTTAATATCATCCTGAATATGCAGAACCACTGCTTCATTGCCCCCACCAGAGAATTTTGTTCATGGCATATGACCCTGTCTGCACTCTATGTAATTGTCACACTGGAAACCATATTTGCATTTTTAATTTAATGTCCATAGTGGCAACAAAATAAATGTTTTCTGTGACCTATTAAATATTTTCTGTATGCCACCTGAACTCAAGAGTCGCTTCAGATTATTTCCCTGGAGAGTGGGAAAGAAAATCCAGCTAAAATTTAGTTATTGTTCTTCTCAAATTAAATTGGGTGAAGTGGATAAGCTTGAATTTGACCAGATCAATAGGTCTGTTCCTTCAGACCAACGCCTGTAATCAAGCAGAGTGCTTTCGATATGTTTTTCTCAGGCTTGTTGGAGATTTAATTTAATTATGTATTTACTGCACTCAGTTAACAGATTGAGCTGCTCTCTGGAACAGTGGCTAAGAAACAATATACATTTGGAGTTTGTTTCTCACAGGTCATTAGTAAATGAGGTAATTGCTTATTTCTGTAAATTGTCTGCAGTGTAGCAGCTGATTTCATAATGCAGAGGTTTATTTTACCTCTGTATTATGTTGCTACATTAAAAATAAAATCTATTTAGGTCTGAACAACTCAATGCCCTAGAAATTGCTTACACACAGCTGATCATAATCCTGAATCCAGTAATACAGATAAGGTGCTGGGGAACTTCTGTACCAGTTCATGGCATTAATATTATTATTACATGAGAATAAGGTTGTAATCAGGTCAGCACTACTTACAACTGCTATATGGAGTAACAGCCTTAAATAGTAGAAGAAAAAGTAATATTTGTGTTCCTATACAAAAGCCCTTTTATCCACCTGAGCATTCAGCACTGATACAGCATATAAACTCCATCATGACTGCAAAGTAAAAATTGTGGGTTTTTTAATTACTGCCCATGAAAGTTGCCAGATGAGTAGTACCTCAGCACAGTCCTAAGCAGCTGGTTGGCATAAGAAGCAGTGGGTGTGGGAAGCATTCAGGCTTCTCTGAGGCTGTTCAGAAGAACTAAGTCTAAAGTTAGAGTAGTTCCAGCTCTGGAAGTCTGTGAAGACTGTTCTCTACATAAGTCATATGTTGGCTTGTTTAATTAATCAAATCCTTTTAGTTGTGAGAGTTATTCTGTAGCTCCAAACTCAGCTGAATTCACTGAACTGACCAGAACAAAACCAGATTCCTAAGCTGTCTTCAACTAAGACCTTAATAAAACCATTATCTGCAGAAGAGTAGAAAAGAGGCATTTTTTTGTGTGATCCCTCCAGCTGCCTACATTGCTCCTGCTCCAGGAAACTTCATTTTAGCATGAGGGCTCTCCCAAAATACGTAGGTTTTATGAGCAGTTGAAACCTATCCATACCACAGTAGGAGTCAGATCCTTGGGCTTGCACAGGCATTCTTGAACCCACACTGTTCTCAGATGACACAAAGCTGGCACAAGCTATTGGACTGTCATTGTTTTGTTGTCATTCCTATTAGAATCAGAAGGTATTATTCCAGAGTGCTAGAGAACACTGATATTTTATGGGTCTTTAGAGATTATTATCTGCTTTCAGAGTTTAAAGTGCTCCTGGAATTGTTCTATCTCCTTTTCTCTTGGTGAGCACCAGAAACTTGAGGTAGCAGCCAAAAGCTGTTTCCATTCTCTGCCTCCTTCAGTTGCATGGTATTTGCTTATGCAGCACTATCTCCACCTAGGTGTTAATGAAGTAGAGCTTTCTCCTGTTTCCAAGCTTGTATGCAAAAGCTCAGTGATTAATCTGAAATTAAATGGGAGAATGCCTGAGATATGCTTTCTGCCTTCGCCTGTGTTTGTTTCTGTGTGCTGGCCTGGATCAGAACACGTCAGTTGTGCTCAGAGCTTTTAGGGAATTCACCCTTCGCCTCCCATGTCACATCTTGCCACATCCTTCGTTTTTGTTGCTTTGCATCCTTTATAGAGTTGCAGCACCCAGATCATTCTGCATGAGGAACTGTTGGTGTGAAAAGCAGAGGAGCGCTTCTCCTGCTGCATATAAAAGCTGTGTGTATAAGTAGCATTCCTGTTCTCCTGCAGCTTGTTGTGTCTGTGTGTCACTCCCTTTCTCCATTCCTCAAAGTAATTGTTCAAACAGCAGATTGATTTTTAGATCTGCCAGAGGGGTCCACAAGTGACAGTTAAGTTCTTACACATTTCTTGAAAGCAGACATCTCTGCAGAGGACAGAGATTCTGCAAGTGCCTCCTTTCAACTGATAACTGCAGGTCTAAGCTCATCCAGCTCCACAGAATTCCTTGAGGAGATGGCCCTTATAAATACCAGGAAAGACTTCTATACCGTACTCAGTCAACCACAACAGACAATCTGTAGGAATTCAGACCTTGCTTGTTCTGGTGCTCATGGTATAAGAGAGACTGAAAATTATCTGGCTAAAAATAATCACCACTAGGCCTAAATGAAAGGTTAGTGGTGCTTTTGGCTGGGAAGGGCCATCACCACTCACAGCAGCATGAATTGTTACACTGATGTTTTGTTTGACATCTTTCCCTCCACAGATTTGCAGTATGCATGAATAAATTAGAAAATGGGGAGAGGTTCACATCCTGTGGTTTGTTGTACTTCATGTTCCTCCTAGGTATAACAGGGAAAAAATGAAGTAGTATTAAAATGATGGGGAAAAAAGTGCTGTTACTTGAAGGGTTCAAAGATACTGCATGATGAAAGAGGTCACAAGTAGGGTAGAAGCAAAAGAGTCACAAGCATGTTGTTTGAAACTAGCTTAGAAACAAAAGGAGCAGGTGTCCTTTGAATGTGGAAATCAGTGACAAAAGCAGGCAGTTTGTAGCTCTGGTTTTTTATTTAGGATATGTTAATCAATCATGTAGTTGTGAGTATGCATGTGTAAAATACAAAGACTGAAAACATGTTCTTAGTTTCATGATTACAGATAATGACAATATTTCACTGAAGTATTTTTCTATAACCCATGATGCATTTCTGCAAACATGTCTGTGATGCCTGTTAATAACTTACAAAGTCTTTCATAAATCCAGCATTGCTGTAATGTGTCAGCCTCTTTTCTTGTCTACTCTTGCCATCCTTTTATTTAGTTCTTAAGGTATGCACAAGAAATTATGCTTAATTTCCTACTCCAATTCTCAGAATTGAAAGGGGAAAAAAATGAGAAACACAGCTAAGCAATTGGTTCAATTGCTAAACATCAAATATTGATAAATAAAATTTCCAGTTACTTACATCCTTATTAATAACTTGAGAACATCTGTTTGCTCCTGACTTCTCTTGGTAGCTAGGCTGTCCTTTGGTCCGAAGTATAATGGCTCTGTTGCCTTGTGTCTCACTTAATGACCCTGCTCCTGCTCTTTCTAAGTTTCCAGCACTTCTTTATTTCTGTAATTCCTTGGACTTGCTGCAGCTGTTTAGAAGATATTTGCTCTTTCCTTTTTAGAAGATATTTGCTCTTTCCTTTTTTTAATTCTGGATTTCACAGATGTTTCCATGGATTTCTCCTTTCCCCCTCCATTCTCTACTCCTTTTTTTTCTGATCATATAATTATATCTGCCTCTCAGTCCCTTTCCATCTCAATTTAGAGCTTTGAGAGTTCATGGCAATTTCCATACCCTTCTGGATGTTTGCATCTTTAAACTAGTATAATGCAAGGACTCAAAAAATTTTTCTTTAAATCCTTCCTTGTTATTTCTCTCTTTTTCTGTCTTTCAGTGGAACTTCTTCGGGTTTGTTTCTATACTTGTCTTTACCCATCAGATTTTGCTAATTTTGGCATCCATTTCCTGTAAAATATTCCCTTCTTCTCTCTCCCATTTCCAGATGTTTATTGTGTCTCATATGCAGTACTGCAGTTACCTTCATTCTACTAATTAGCATAATCCTCAGAATAATGTATATTACATTGGTAATGACACTAAAGAGTGTTAGAAGTATGGAGTATGGAGGATCAGACAATTTTTAATCATGCTTTTAAAACTAGTCTTTACATAACTCATGTGTTCACCAATCCAGAGAAGAGATTAACTCTTCTGAACTCTGAGGTTTTTTGGGGTTTGGGTTTTTTTAATCCCGTTCTTTGGTCATTTTTTATTTTTCCTTTAGAATTGCTACAAGTGTGGAAAAGTACTTTCTAAGGAGATGCTGCATCTATTTACAGTGGAGGTTTTGGTGACCGGAAATAGTTACTTAAGGTGTCTCTGGACAGTGTGGTGGGTGGGCAGTACAGTCATGAGATTCTGGCTTGGTGCATGTGTGAATTCTGAGACTGGTGATTTTACAGGTCAGTCTTGCCCTGTTATTCTCTCAGAATTACCATCCAGTACTTAGCATTGCTAAAGTTAGTGCAGTTATTTATAGCAATCAATTCAGCACGAAATTTCAGAAATAGGGGCCTGAATCAACACATCAAGAAGTATAGATGAGCAGGCAGCTTCTTTAAGCTGTAGTTGCTTCTATGATACAATATTAAAGCAGTGAGTTGCATAGATTAATGACTGTGCTGTGCTCTGAGTTTTCTTTTAGAAATGCTCTCCTGAGAAATCTTTGCATGTGGCCTTAGCTGTGTTCATTTTTCTTCCTGTTGTTGGTGTTTTACAGGTCCTTAAGAATAATTGGCTTTGTAGTCATGGCCAATAGTTGCTGCTCACTAATAAAACGTAGACTAAAGGAAACCTATCTGCATTAAATTTTTGTACAATAGTGTCTTTGCACAAGGAAGTTTTAAACTTTAGAGTCAATGCATGCTTAGGATTTAAACAACTTAATGCTCTCTTTCCTGATTGCACTTAAATTTAGAATGTTATTTGCTTTTGGACTGAAATTGTCCAGGACTACCTTCTGGGCATAGGTGAATATTTTAGCAATTTTTAAATCAGACATTGAGATGAGGATTTGATTTTACAAAGAATACATCTGTAGTGGTCTTTCTGTTTGTTTGCTTTTAAACAGTGTTGTAGCTTAAGCACTTGTGGAATTTAGTTTGGAACAGCCTGGGTTAAAAGAAATATTAATAAATAGTAATTCTAATTTAGTGAAGTTTTGGGGTTGCTTCTTCTTTTTTTTTTTTTCAGTGTTAATGCCACAGTACAAATCCTGTCTGCACTGACGTTCCACATCCGCAAGCAAAAATATGCATGCATGGTTAATTTCAGCTTTATGCATATCAACAGGCTGAAATGATTGGTTTGCATCAGTGGAGCACTTCTGTCCTTAAGGTTTGCATTAGTGCAGCTGTACCTATATTGAAATTATATATGCCTGTATGAACAAAGGAGGCCTCAGCTGCAAATATGTAGAAGATACTTGCTATAAATATGCACTTTATACACTACTCAGGGGCCCCTGGTGGTCTAGTGGTTAGGGTGCAGGACTCTCACCACTGCGACCCGGGTTCGATTCCCAGCCCCCCGGGCAGATGGAGCTCGTCAGCCCTGTAAGGCCATCCATCTAAGAGAAGGTCACTCTAAACAAACCTACGTTCTGAGACCCTCACTGCCACTGTCCAAGCTTGCTCGGCCCCGGCAGATGAACCTCAGGATTAAAGGGTGGGCTCAGTTCAGCGCACGCTGTGTCTCACCTAAAAAATCCACTGCGCAGGCTCGAAGGGTTAATGACCTTTCCCCAATCTTCGCTCGCGCAGACTGGCCATATACACTGCTCAGTTAACTTCATGATATAACTGCAGCTAAGATGTATAATTCTGGGTCAAGCACCCATATCCATTTTTCAGCAGGCTCCTTTAAACACTGGGGATTTGATCTGAGGTTTTGTGTACTTCATTTGTTTGCATTCATATTGGTTAAGATGTAGCACTCCTCCACAACTGAACAGGGAACTTGTGAGTGCAGTTAGGCTTTGTGTGCTTGTGCTTTTGTTCTTGCCACCTACAGCTTTTTATTAGCAGCATGCCGTTGTTGCACTCTTTCACGTAAAACACACAGGTTTTTTTTCTTTTTTTTTTTTTTTTGTAATTTGCAAATACCTAAAATTTTTTTTGACAGTAAGTGCTCAGGCAGCCTAACCTTCAGTTTGCGTTCAACAGAGGGAGAGAGGCAGGGATACTCTTGAGGGAGTAGAAGCAGATGGTAGAGGATTGTAGGAGGCATAAGATACTGCTTTGGTGACTGGAGAGTGTTTCAACTTTAACTCTTTCCTCAGTGCAGTAGGTTTTAGAGATTTGTTTATGTTGTGCAGAGAATACACAACTGCTGCTGCTTCAAGCAGAGATTGATTGAACACTGTCCATGCGCACCCACTGTCCATGTGCACCTGCAGCGGAAGAAAGCCCAAGCTTTAATACCACTTGCATATTTTTTGACTAAGGGATTTCTGCATGCTTAATCAGTTATTTGTATAAATGTATTGTATTTAGGATAAAATCCCACCTTGTTTTACACAATAGGAATCAAAGTTGTATTTCATGCTATGTACAGGGGGATCAAATGGTCTGAACTTTTATTTTATTGGACTTAAGTTAAAATTTCACCAGCTCTGTTTTGCAGAGGGACTGTTCCATCAAAATCAGCACAGAAACCTGCATATTGAAGGAAAACTGTTTTCAGGGGAATTTCCTCTTCAGATGGTTTCCTGCCCCTTCTTTCGCCTCATGCTCTGTGTTTGAAATCTGAGGGAAAAATGAGCTCTATCACTTTACCTTGTGGCATAATTGTTGTGTTAAGCAGACAATTTATTCTTTGACTGTTAGGAACTATTCCAGTGTAAACACTATAATCTTTAGCTCAGCTATAGTTTGGCTCCTGTAGATCTTTCTTTTTTTTTTAACTCTGCAGTACTGAAAATCTTTTGACATCAGTTCTGCAAGTATCTGATATGTGATGAGGACCATGCAGTGTTTGCATTGTGTGTTTACAAAGAGCTTCTGCAGGCTGTTGTTTGGGTACTTTGCTGGGGTTTTTTTGTCTGTACATCATTCATTGTATGGTAGCTTTACTTAACTGTACTTTTTAAAGTGTGATTAATGTTTGAATGTCTTTAACCTTTAAATATGACAAGATCATCCTCTGATTTATTGATGTCAAGAGGGTTTTTTTCAACTGGAGTTTTCCATTACCAGCAGGAGTGCCACTGGATTTGTTTAGGCATCATTATCTTAGGCTGGAGCATTAGCTTTACCCCAGAGAGAATAATTTCTATACATACAGTACAGCTGCACTGAAGGGGTTATATAAAACAAGCTGAAACTTTGAGTAATTCCTCTACAGTATTATATCTGCCTATTTCCATATTGCAAATAGTTTTTAAAAACTGAAAACAGTAGAATTTTAAAATAACCTCCACTCATCTGCTCCTCACATGAAAACTTCACAGCCACCAGGGTACAAAAATATAACTTCTATGCTGAAACAAGGAGCAATTAAACTTGGTTAGACAATGAGAAAAATCTCCTAACTATTTAAACCATATAAGTGGGAGAATAAGAATGCTGTGTTTTACTGTAGGTTCGAGAGCTGCAGACACGTTTGCAGAGCGTGCAGGCAACGGGCCCATCCAGCCCCAGCCGTCTCACTTCTGCCAATCGACCCATCAACCCCAGCACGGGAGAGTTGAGCACCAGCAGCAGCAGCAACGACATTCCCATTGCCAAGGTGAGCTCTTGTGTGTTTTAGTAACCCTTCTCATTATCTGGGGAAAGCAGGTCTCATTTTGCTCTATACAGGAATAACTGAGAGGTATCTAGAATCCCCAGAATGTTTCCTAAGCAGGTCTGTGAACTTGAACTGTGGGAACCAATTAAGTGTTAATGATTGTAGTTCTCTCAGTTACAGCACAGGGGTCAACTTTATAGTAGTTTACTTCAGTTTTGCAAGTGTAACTAGAGCACAGATGAATTTTGTGTAAACTTCATGAACTTTATTGCTGGGTAACCTGTGAAGCATTCTGACTTGCAGATTGCTGAAAGAGTGAAGTTGTCAAAGACAAGATCAGAGTCTTCATCATCTGATAGACCTGTCTTAGGATCAGAAATCAGCAGCATAGGGGTAAGAACTAATAATTATGTGCATGCATGGTACCTTCTGAAGATGACTTGTGTTCCAATAAAAGAAGCATTGCTTTCTTAATAAATTAATATATGGACTGACTGAAAATACTTTAAAATAACTTTTAAAGAACTTTAAAAGTTATTTAGAGGAAAATATTTCAGCAAAGAATATTTCACCTAGTATTAAGATCTCATTTTCTCCTAACTAGTGGCTAGAAATCATTCTCTGAGTGACTTCAAGAGGAGTCATTTCCTCCAAAATATTTTTCAAGAAGACTCTCCAGTTGCATTTCACAACTTTCAACAGTGAACTGGTTTCTGCTTTGAAATGCCAATGTAAATCAATAACGCTGCTGGTACTGTGTGTTAGTATTTGTTTTACTGAAGAACTTGGCTCTAACCTTTTGCTAAGCTTTCAAGAACATAAATAACTTGCATAGTAGGCTTTTTAAATGTATGATGAAATAGTGGCCTTCACCCTTGGTTAGTAGAATTTTAAAACAAAATGGCTTCTAAAAGTGGAATCTTGTAAATATTCTATTCAATGTAAAATTCATAACAAAAACCAAATAATGAATGCCTTGAAGTGAGTACATGTGAGCAAATGCAGTTCTCAATGCAGAGTGCTTTTGGGAGAAATCCAGTGATTATCTATTCACAATAATCTATTAACTGCCCTGTGCAGGTGTCTAGTACTGTGGCTGAACATTTGGCACATTCCCTCCAAGACTGCTCAAACATCCAGGAAATCTTCCAGACTCTCTATTCACATGGATCTGCTATCTCTGAAAGTAAAATTCGAGAATTTGAAGTGGAGACAGAGAGATTAAATAGGTAAGGTGGAAAGTCAGATAATGCTCACATGTGTTGCCTTCTATTAGCTTTGATAAAGTTACTGCATTTTTATCCTTTTTGAACATCAGTCCAAGCTCAACTGTGGCAGTTGCAGATAGCATAGAATGTAGGTGCTGAAGAGAAGATATGCAAAGGATTCTTTCCATGAGTATGACAGTTTGGTTGTGTGTTATTAGATCAGCCCAGCACCTTCACCTGTGACAGTTTGTACTGTGGAGTGTCCCTCTCTGTGGGTAACCAAATAGTCATGGCATCTTTTTTCATAAGACACATCACTGATAGAAATAAGGATTCTCATAACATAGTCTCGCTCATTCTAGAATTAGCTTGCTTTGTTTTGTCCTGAAGAAGCAGAACAATCGCATTGACTGTATCCATAAATGTGTTCATGTGGTGGTGTGGCATATATACCAGTAAATAGATTTCTGTCTGCAGAAGAGTGATTGCAGCTTTCTGGTTGTAGTTAAAATATTGATGGTGTTATCCTTCAATAAGCTCTATCAAAACCATGTCTTTTTTTGGCACATAAAGATCAAAACAGTGGATCAGAAACATGAGAATCGTGTTTCTGGCCAAGTTCTCTCTTCCCCACAGCCACCTCAAATTTAATCTGATCAGTAAAATATCTCTTTTATTTATAGCTCATGTTTTTGTAGTGTTGCAAAATGTGATCTTTGTTTTCTTCTTCTTCTTTTCTCTTTTCTGTACACTGCACAATTATGCTTTGACAGCATGTATCCTTATAGAAGGTGTCAAAAGAAGGTACAGAAAGTGAAGCATCTGAAAGTCAGGACTTTATTCTGATCACTGAATAAAGGGTATACTAGCCATTCTCATTCTTCTTTATTAGGAAGTCAGTGATTTTAGAGTCCTGCATGCCACTGATTTCTTCATTAGCTACTTGTCCAAATTTTGAATTTTTTTGCCTGTTTTTGGCATATATCCACCTTTTGCATTTAGGCACAGTACACTGATGTGTAGTGCAGTTATTGGCGCAGAGAATAAACATAAATAGTTATATTCTGAAGCTTCATTTTCATATTCAGAGTTAGCCTTATTGAGAAGAGTATTACAAGGTAGCTTCTGTTCCACTGTTGCCAGAACATTTGGAGATTACAGTGCCTCACTGAAACTTCATTCATAGTTTGGAAGTTCCCTCTCTAATCACAACTAAACCATGACTTCAGGTGATTATTCTGGATTTTCCAAAGAAAGGAGGCATTTATGCAACTGCATGATCCCTACACACACCCCCAGTTGCACTAGTAAATATGCCACTTAAAACAAGAAGCAAATGTGGCAGCAGGAAGTGAGGAATTGAGGCAGAAAAATTGAGCAAAAGGTTAATATGAAACTGTCCTATGCAGTCTTTTACCCTAACAAAAAAGGGTATAACCTTCTGCTTGCTGCTGTTGCACAGGGTTGTGATTATGCTTTATGGGAAGGTGAAAAGAAGAAGAGGCTGTACTAAGAGAAATTTCTATCCTCTTGGCTCTTGATAAAGGGATACAGAACTGATGGAGTTTGCAATCTTCATTTAAAAAAAAAAATAAAATGTGTAGACCAAATGGTTTTTGTTATTTTAAATTATGGTTGTTCTAGAATTTTCAGATCACTGACTGTAAGTTAAGCTTGAAGGTTGCAAATTACTTCCTTTTCTACAGCCGTATTGAACACCTGAAATCCCAGAATGACTTACTGACAATAACACTGGAAGAGTGCAAGAGCAATGCTGAGAGGATGAGCATGCTTGTTGGGAAGTATGAGTCCAACGCCACGGCCCTCAGGCTGGCGTTGCAGTACAGGTATGTGCCTACACAGAGAGTATCTCAGAAAAAGAGGGAGCCAAGGCAAAACTTGACAGAAGCTCTCCAGAGTGAAGTTGTTGGTGTGCCATAATAATACTGTTTCTTTTTGTTTCCTTCATGAAAAAAAGTCCCTTTAGTTAAACTACTTGGCAGACTACTGAACTGAAGTTACTGATACACTGTATTTCAAGCCTAGTTCTCCAGCATCTAAAAGAAATATGCAGATTTATCTCTTCATTTTTAAATACTGAATTAACATTTGAATTAATGATTGTGCGTAGGCTCAGACTATCTCTGCTGAATCTGGTCTTAAGATATAGGTTCTCTGTATTAGGCACCTTTCACAAGACCAGTGGGCCAAACAATAGTGTTGTACTCCACATAATTCAGAATGACTTTGTATCACATCAGTTGGAATTGTGGATTAATTGCTTAGTATTTGCTAATAAGTATCTAAATTTGCTTCAAACTATATGTAAAAAGGTGGATGTCATTTAACACCTTCAGCTGCAACTAATTTGGAACAGGCAGTTCTGGTCTTAAGACAAATTGTGTGCCTTTAAAAAAATGTGTTTTCTTACCATTAACCTTGAGCAAATTACTAGGAAATCTAAATTGCAAATAGGTATACTAGTATATATTTTTTCAAAAAAACTGTTAGAAGGCAGCATGAATGAGTGACTCACAACTGTGAGTTGGAAGCTGTTTTGTTGTAAGGAAGAAAATCTTACAGCCAGGACAGATCAAGAAGTATTTTTCATGTGTCTTCTTTACTTCTTACTACAGTCTGTGTACTGCAATTATCTTGTAGAGTATAGAATGCTGTATTTTGTATAGTAAGAAGGTCTGGGAAAAGTTTCACAAAGGGATCATGTTGACCACCATTTGTACTGGTGTTTCAAACATGCTTCCGAACTTCCTTCACATCAGGTCATTCTCTTCCCTTTTATCTTGTTACGTTACTTGAGGTCAACCTGGCACTGTCATAAGGAAGGAGAGAATGTTGAATGCCTGTTATAGGAGATATATGCATTATGTTATCTAATATCCCTACTGTTAGACAAGTAGTAGGGAATCATACCTCTGTTGTTGTTGTTGTTGCTCTTGCAGGTATTCTTCCTTTCTAAATTACGGGTGATATTTTGTGTGATTTTTGTTTTCTGTAGTTTGTTTTCTCTTTCAGTGAACAATGCATAGAAGCGTATGAACTGCTGTTGGCATTGGCAGAAAGTGAGCAGAGTCTTATTCTTGGGCAGTTCAGAGCTGCAGGTGTTGGTTCTGTTGGTAAGATGTCAATGAATCACTTCATTTAATTTTTTTTTTGCATGTCAGTTAGCATTAGAGTTGGTTGCAATGGTGAATCATCTCATGACCCATTACTTAAGAATGCTCTCTGGTCTTTTCTTGTTTTTAACTGATTAAAATATTTTACAAACCCCAAAAACAAAGGAAAAGGAAAAGAGAGCAATTTAAATTCACCAGTGGATGCTATCAGAAGGGGATGCCTAGCAGGGGCGATACTGCTACAGGCATGCAACTGTACAGAGTGGAATAATTAAACAATACTTGTGGGCATATGTGGCTTAGGGCCACACAGCTGTGGTAATTGCAAGTGTGGATTCTGTTTGAAGCAGTAAGACTGACCCCCCAGAAACTGAGTATAGTTTATGAAAAAATGGGATTAAGACAATACTATGATAGCATAAAAAATAAAAAAGCCGTAATTTTTCACATCCCACCCATTTTACCTTTGCTCTTAAATTTTTAGATGTTCTATCTTCTGTTTTACTCTGCTGTCAGGGATATTAGCCTGTATATTCTGGATTTCTCTTATTTTGTGGTTAGTTAATCTTATGGCTAGGTGTTGGTTTTTAATATGCTGCTTGCTAAGAAATGGAACAAGCCACTACCATAGGTTCAGTACAGTTCAGAAGTGTGTGGAGCTTGACATTGCTGCTGGCTCCACTTTTCTGATAGAAAAACATGTTTACACAATGAAAGTTAAATCTTTCCCATTCCTTCCATTGATAGGAGAAAGCAGCCACAATAATCTTAAAGCAGAAAGAAGGGAAACCTTCAGAGAGAGAATTATAACCCTTCATGCCGTCCTGAGGCATAGTTACTGCCCAGTGGGCTAATGGCAGTAGCTTCTCAGGAATCACTGAAATGTAAATGGAAAACTTCTAGAGACAAAGAGTGACCATCTGGTTTTAGAGCCACAGGACTGACATGGTCGGTCTCTTGTTTCAGATGACTGGATGCTGCTCTCCATGCCCCTTACTTTGTATCTCCCGCAGTGCTCAATGCAGGCCTTTGTGTACCCGTTTCACCTGTGCAGCGTGTGCAGTGCACCAAAAAGTAAAGGAGATGTCTGAGATTTTCTTCCACTTTTCTTCCAAGCTCTGGTCATTCTTTTCCACAATGCACTGTGGGGCTTTTCCCTGCTCGTAGAGATCAGTGAGCAGCAAAAGTAAATTTAGTCTTGGGTTTTCTGTTCATTTAGGAGGCAGAAAGAAATTTTCGAAGGGAGAAATACTTTGAGTTTCAGTAGGGTTTCATCTGCATTTTATGAAAGAAACTGTAGTTTAGTTTTTGTGTAGTTATCTGTCTACAGCTCTTAATTATGGTATTACCAGTTACAGCCCTGAGAAAGAAATAGTGCAAATTTCCCATTACATAACACAGCTTGGAGGAAGTTGTATATGGTTTTTGTACCTTTAATTTGATTAACACACCTAGATAAAATAACAGATTTTTGGTTTGAAGATCAGTCAAGTTTTATATCAACATCTGTGAGTGGAAAATTCATGGGAGTTGCATCACTTAGATCTGAACATATCTAACTGCTCTTAATGTTCACCCTTCCTTCTTCCTCATTAATGTTCTTTCTAGTGCATGCACTTCACTTAGCAAGTGTGAAGTATGGGTAATTGGTCTTTGACTTGAACAAGGATGAAATGAAAATCTGACAAAGAGCAAAGTGGGTTTTTTTTAATCTCTGACATATTTGGATTGTGTTTTTTAAAATATGAGTATATCGTACCTTTAATTTACAAATATATTTGTAGATTTTCTGTTTAGCCGATAGCGTGTCTTACTTTAATGACTTGATGGCAGCTGGAGGACTGTAGGAGTAGTGACAGTGGTGGTTCAGTCCTGCTTCTGCTGAAGGGATGTCTTACCAGCTACACAGATGCTGTATAACCACTGGAAATTATAGCAAATTAATAAACACCATTGCTAGTTTTCTTTTGGCTTAATATGCATGGCTGTAAACTCTGAAAGGCTGCTTTTAGGCAGTAAGGCAATTCTTCCAACTGGCAAGGTAACCTGTAAGAAGGTGTTCTGGCAAACCATTAGGCTTGAGGTCAAGGTGTTTTTGAGAAGAAGCCCTGGAAATGACCACACTGTGGAACAGCACTGCACTGATTGGAGAAAGAGTTGTCATTTAGGCTGAGGCTTTTTCAGTGTGTTAATAATTCGAGCATTGTAGCCTAATCTTAATGCACAGTGCAGACCCTTACAAACAGAGAAGCTGGCTAAAATAATACATACTTAAGACATGTACAGGGAACAAAAAATATCTGGAGCTTGTGACTGGGACAAAAGTGCATTCCAGGTCAGTAGCCCAGTTACTACAGAAGTGAGGTTGCTTTTACCTCACATATTGGTAATGTATTTTCATAGTTTTTGTATAAACTAAGAGCGTGTAGAAGGATCTCTATTCTTGCTTTAACTTCTGTCACCTTCTTCAAAGCTCTGAAACAGATTTTTTGCTTGAAAACTAGGAGACCAGACAGGTGATGAAAACATCACACAGATGCTTAAGAGAGCTCATGACTGCAGGAAGACAGCTGAGAATGCAGCAAAAGCCTTGCTAATGAAACTAGATGGGAGCTGCGGGGGAGCCTATGCAGTCACTGGCTGCAGTGTGCAGCCCTGGGAAAGCCTCTCATCCAACAGCCACACAAGGTAAATGCAGCTCCTCTGCTCTCCTAGTGCCCGAGTGTTTGATTTCAGACCAGAAGATGTATTGTATTTGCTGTTCTGCCTCCCTCACATCAGTCCCTCGGTTTCTGTGCTTTGATTTGTAAGTCACCATGCCTCAGTGGTCTGATTGTTTTTAGACTTTGAGCAACTCCAGACAAGAAGGGTTTTGTGTAAATTTTTTGCAAGTGGGTGACTCTGGACTTTGATCTTCCTCATAAAGGTCAAAACCATTACGTTTGTTTTACTTCACTGACTTTGTGGCTGTTTGGTTGGAACTCAAATCATGTACTTCTTACTCTTATCTATTGTATGCAGACAGCACGGACATACAGAGAACCAGAGATCTGAAGTATGCTTCCACTGGCATTTTGGAGTGCTCAAGAATTGTTTTTTTAAATGTTGCAAGTCTACCCATTTTGTTTTAAACCATTTCCTCTCCCTTCTCATTACCCTTTGCCCCTCCTCCAAATTATTCCTTCCCATGCTGTTCTTTTCACACGTGGAGCGGAACAGAGAGAGTGAGTCCCTCCTGGAGAGACTGAATATTCCAGTTTCTCTGAAGACCTATAAAATAATGACACTTAGATGAGCTATTATTGCAGAAGCGTTCTGGTTCAAATACATCTGCCAGCAGCTTCATTTTGAGTTTTTGCCTGCCAGTGGTATAATTATACTCTGTGTGCTTCTGTGTGGATACAAATTTGGCAAGCATCCTGGATAAATATAGATGAACATTTTTCTTTTTAAGCGTTATTTTGGTTTCTTAGATTCACTCTAAAACTTCATTTTAATTCAGTTTTTGAGCCAGTTCTTTATTCAAATGCTGTAATTTTTTTGACACTTCAGAAGTTTATTTTAGTACTGTATCATTTCCTCTTCTTTCTGATGCCTCCTCCAAAGGTTCTAATTTCCTGCCATATAACTGGCATGGAATAGATTAAAAGTGAGCAAAAAGGTAACCTGAGGGAACAGGGTGCTAATGTGAGGTAAATTTTAATGTTTTATTCAGAGAAGTTTTGTGATGCACTTTCAGTACAAGAAAGCTGTATCTTTAGGTAGAAATTATTGTGGCTGCACCTGTGCTGGTAAAACGCTGATCGCCCATTGTAGCAAAAGCATTAACTAGCCTTGGAAAGAAGTTACAAAAAGCTGTTCCAAGTGTTTGACTTGCCATGTTTTGTGCCATATCTACACCCATATGTGAACGTGTTGTATGTGGCTACATGTAACATCTCTACCTAAGTTGACCTTGTTTTCCATTCTATTGTTTGAAAGGGCCGTTTTTGGTTGGCCATAACTACCTCAGTGTTTTTTTTCCTTTTGACATATCTAGCATGTAGTCAAAACATAATTTTTTTTCTTGAAGAACAATTTAGATAGTTTCTGGTATTGACAGGGGAGAATTATGGGCAAGGAGGGGTTGTTCCTGTTCTGGTGTTTGCTCTCTTAGTCTTTCACTGCAAGTGTTTGGAATATGGTCTCTATAGTCCTTGCTTTCTTCAACATAATTTTTGGGGGTTTGAGGAAGAGGATAAGAGAGGGAGATGTCTGTATTTGTGTCTTTGCACATTGTTCACCATGAACATTTGGTGGTCAGCTGACACTGTGTATATTTATTTACATATAACATGTGGACTGAGGAGTTAAAGTTTCAGCAGAGTATATTTGAAGTGGCATAGGATTTCAAATTTCATCACTATAAATTATGTCATGAAATGTAAAAATGTGATTGTAAATATTCATGTACACAAGAGAGACATTTTAGCTTGAGTCATTATCATTGTAGGCTATCTTTTCCTGGCATGGAGCAGAATACTGTACTGAATAAGGTAACTCTTATTATCTGGTTTGATATATGTGGAACATAAGACAGAAAAGCTTCTGTCACTCACCCAAAGGGCACACAAAAGTCAGGAATTTGTCATATGGGCACCCTGATCTGATTGTCACTTATACATTGTTGTCCCTCTCCCCTCCTGCCATGCCAAATGTAATTTTGTCTTAGCCTAAACATATATGTATCAGTGAAAATATTTTTGAAACTTCACCTTCTCCAAAAAATACAAATCTTCCTTCTTTCTGTTCAGATCTTTGTCAGTAAATACTCTATCTCAAGTTTTAAAAATTGAAGATTTTGTCATTAAATTTCCTCTCCCTGTCATTCCGGATCCTTCTTGTTTCTCTCCAGGCCCCTACTCCTACTTTTTGAAGTTATCCTGCCTGTGACACCAGCTCTCTCAACTCATTCACGTCTGCTCTCTTGTCACTCAGCTCTCTGCTACTCCAGACAGATATCCATTGCCACAAACCTCCAGCACTGTATGGTTCTTTGATGCTTGTGGTTTCCATTTCCTTTACATTTTTATTACAGTGCAATCTAAGCAGAGATAGCAAAGCAGACTGTAGATTTCTAAGTGTTCCTGGAGGCTTAATGATTTTATTTGTCTTAAAGAACTCTACCTAAGTTTTTCACCCAGAGGGTAGTTGGGCACTGGAACAGGCTCCCCAGGACAGTGGTCACAGCACCAAGCCTGACGGAGTTCAAGAAGCGTTTGGACAATGCTCTCAGGCACACAATGTGATTCTTGGGGCTGTCGTGTGCAGGGCTTAGTGTTGGACTTTGATGAGCCTTGTGGGTCTCTTCCAACTCAGGATATTCTATGATTCTATGAAGTTCTATAAAACTGGGGAGTAGAACAAGTCAACGTCATCAGTGAGTGCTGTGTGAACCACCATTTGGGGACCACTGCACTGAAATTAAAATATTTTTACAATGTGTGATTCGAACATACTTTGAGTCTGCAAAACTGATTTTTTGCCATAGCTGTTTTAGTGTTGCAGGCTTTTAGTTGCAGATATGTATTGTTACCTTTTCCCTTTGAAATCAACGGAAGAGGTAGTGGGATGTTGAAAACTATCTTTTGCTGAGAATTGTGACAAATGAGTAATTCTTCCTGTTGCTGGAAATCTTGTAGACTGTGGATTTACAATGAAATTGTTGACCCATCTTGAGCTTTGAAATTTCAAACGAGATTCTGAATGTCAAATCACTGAATACATTACTGAGAATAAACATGTGGTGAGGCATTAGTGCCAAGTGGCTAAAGACTGCGAAAGGGAGCAACTGAAATGAAAATAAATGCAATGAAAGAGCATCTAAATTCATTTGGCTGGCAACAGCACTACAATAATGTTGCCAATTCAGTTTTTGAAAATAGAAATCAGTTTGCAGTGTAGTTGGAAGTTGTAATTGTTTTAAATGGACAGAAGCTAACTATAGAACGTATATTGCCAACAAGGTTTGACTGATTACACCTTTAGAAGGAACCAAAAGAGAAGGAGTCCAGTTGTAACACTGACTGAAAAAGGTGTATTTTATTCTCTGCAACACGAGCAAGCCCAAGCTTACAACTGGATTCATGGAGGGAGAGATCTGGTCTCCTATACACAAAGGCAGTTCTCTTCAGCCCCTGGTGGTCTAGTGGTTAGGGTGCAGCACTTTCACCGCTGCGACCTGGGTTCGATTCCCGGCCCCCCGGGCAGATG